CATGGTGCAAATTGCGGTGACTGTTCGCCCCTGTCAGTCCTCACATTTGATCCTCCCACCCTCTTTCGCAAAATACTTCCCGTAGGACGCTCGATCTTCTTTTCTCTGGACTTCTAAATCTTCAGACCCTTCATTGTCGCATGCTTCACTGCATATCCCAGAGGTGTCTAAGCTACAGTCTCCGTCTTTCGCTAGACAACCACCAGAAGCACAGTCGCCACCATGTTCAAATGAAGAACGCAGCCACGCCCACCTCATTTCCGGGGCATGAGGTGCATGTGGGCTAGATGAGCGCAAATAAAAGTGATAGGTCAATTTAAAGACCGACAATAAAGTTTCCTTGAATTTGCTCCCACAGCAACGCAATCGGTCCTCGATCGAACCCCTATACTTGAGTTAGCGACACGCAGTTTCGCCTTCGAAGACAAATCGTACAGTCGCTTCGTGTAACCGATAAGATGTGTGATGGCGTACTGGAGCGCAGCTAGGACGGAAAGGTGCCGCCCTGAGCAATGGTGAAAAATCTGCGCTGGCTTCGCTTCAACTTACGCCGCCGTTTTAGACTCGTCCGTTTGCAGGAATAATGACTGTACACTCATCTCCAAGGACGGTTCCCGCCATGTGCGAGACGAATAGATCCGCAATCCGCAACTGCAGTAGCGTGCCACTTTTTCGGCTCAAAAGTGCACGGGCACGTTGCTGAGAGTTGTGGCAGCTGGATGGCTAGATGCTCCGCTCGCGCTTTCTCAAGGTGCAGCTTTTGCGTTGATACCAAGCTACGTCAGCGATGCACGTACTCAGCGGTGGAGAACAATCAGAAGTGATGGCAGCGCCTCTGTCCATAGTAGACGCCTAGTTGCAGTAGGGACCGGGATCCACGGAGGTAACTATACAGTTTGTCTTGAAGCGGCTATCTCTCACTAACGGACTACCCGGTGAAGTGAGTCAGAGTAAACGTCACATCATTGAAAACTGGAGCTCGCACAATCGCACTGGACCAGCTTAAGGCATTCAGTTCTCATAAACTTTTCGATACCGTGAACTGACACATACCCGGCAGACAGTCGAGTCAACATCGAAGGCGACAGCGTCCGCGTTCCTCCATATACGTCGTACGCGTTCCTCGGGAGTTTCGACTTGTGTGTGGCAACCAGCATAAACCGATAGTTGGCTGCCAGTTGGACGAGAAAATTGCAGCGTGCTCAGCGTCCTGAAAAAGAGGAAAGAGGAAGGCCCCCTCAGAACAAGTTCACGCTAACTCCTAAAAAGGTTCGACAGTGTTGAAGAACGCTTCCCCAAAAACGCAATGCTAGGTCGCAGTATTCTTAGAAGCGTGACTATTTATGGAAAACCCAAGCACACATGACCTGTATCTCGCTTGGAGCGGCCCCTCATGAACACATCGGGGCAGAACGGGTGCACACTTACGAATACGCTCCAAAGCGAGTTACCTGGCTATCCGCACGACCATCGCCACTACAAATGAAACATACCATATCTCCCTCCCCCGCCTCCAATGAAAAGCACCCTTGAAATGACTAAATGTTTTTGCTTACCATTAGTCTATTCTGTAACGAAATCGAAGTCATTCTCACGATTAGTGCTTCTACCAGTGGTGCGGTAGTGCACAAAAAATGATGCACGAGTTTTTGACTTGTGGTGGGGCTATCGATGAACTACCGATGAAAGAGAGCTGCGTGCTTGGAAAGGAGGGATTAATGGAGGCAGTACTGCGACAGCCGAGAGACTGGAAAAATCTTGAGCTTTGGAAATAAGGGATAAAGCACACAGTTGCTAAAAAATCCTATGAATGCGCCAAAGGTTCGGCTCTCCTTCATGATTCCGAAGCACCTTAAAGACACGGTCACTTATAAGAATTGAAGCTCTTTCGTGGAGCGACTTAGAAGAGTAAACTACGCTTTGACAATACCCCTCTTCAAATGATCCGTTTTTATTTTGATGGTTCTAACTAATTGTTGTTTATTTTGGTGCGGTCTGCAATGGAGAACCTGTACCATTTCTGCGTCAGAAAGATTAAATATTTTTCCACCTACGGCCTGAAATTATAAGCAAGCAGGTAAACAAATATAATATGTATTTCTTTCTCGGTGTAGAAAAGACATACATTCCTATCCCTGAGACGGAGTAGGCGTGGCTTTTGAGCATGGCATAGGACGGGTTTCTCGTGGGATACTTCAATTTGAAACAACTGCTATCTTGTTCTGTGTTAGATGTAGACATGATTACGACTGCTCCAAAATGACAATATCTCACGAAAACCTGGGCCGCCGCCATTTTAAAATCAAGTACGCAGCCACGCCTACCCGATCTCAGGGATTTCGAGTATAAAAATTGCGGCTGTGTCCACCAAGTATTCGGGCGCGTTGTCGCGTGCGACTCTGCTAGGTGCACCTCATTCTCCAGAAAAAAAGGTCGAACCGTTCCGTAACTAGGCCTTTTTTTCAAAAAAAAGTGGTTGAGGATACTGATTCATTGTGTGTGCGGTGCGTGTGTGTGTCTCTCTCGGGGTTAAAATGACAATTTCATTAGCAATAATTTGCAATATAAAAAGAGTCCAGAACTGGGCGTCTATAATAAAGTGTCTACTCGGTCGTAGACGTCAATGTCGTCGTTGTCAAGATAAGGGACCCTTAAGATCTCGGCTCAACATGAACCCGAATCATGAATGAATACAGTAATAGAGGAGTGAAAGAGAGTAGTACGAATCAAAGGAAAATATGTCTAATGAAAGAATCGAGTGAGTTGTAGAAAAAGAAAAGCCATTTCAATTAAGGATGTAATAGGTAGTATAGACAGTCACCTAGGAAATGTTATTGTGATCACAGAAAAGCCTAGAAAATGAATAAGAGGTAGCTTAATGGTTCAATTTGTAACAAATTTACAATTACAGTTATGCATTTAGCGATCATCGAGGGTCATTCCAGTGCTTTACGCAGAATCTCAAAGTCTGTCACATACCAATCGGCTCGAGTTCGTACAGCTTCTCTTATCTAAAGAATAAATTGGTTACTAATGGCTAGGTAAAGAAGCCTTAGTATTCGGGGAATCCCTCTGAGGAGATCAGAGGTAACCCTACCTGATTTCCCCCGAAACCGATAAAGGCATCAGCCGGTGGTGCAGCTTCTAGATCAGTGGCACCGTCACCAACCATGACCAGTTGCTTGTATCCCTGCTTCTTCAACAAACCCATCACAGCTGGTTTGCCAACCTGGAATTGGAGAAGTTATATGTGTTGGTGTGGGATCAAAACTCCTTTAGAAACTCGAACACGGAAAATTTTATAATATTTGGCCCCCTTCGACGAGTTCGCGCTCTCCTAGGAGATCTGCTCGAGTGAGAGTGTCGGTGGCAAGAAATCCTACCGCAGTGTTTGCCACTTATATCATGTTATGAGTCTGAAGCATTTTGTCTGCCTCTCGTCTCTCTTTATTCCATATTTCGTCTTTCGGAAGCGCATCATTGAAGGGGATCACTCTCGAGGGTGCAGTCCAAGCTGATCGTGTGAGA